GGGTCTCATGTATCTACTCAACTTATTTAGCAAGTAGAACTTTTCTTGGGGGTATGAAAGGTGTACCTGCTATACTTTAAGGGGGTGCTTTGGGATATTGGAATATACAAGAAACATCAACCAAAAAACCGAAAAACCAAAAAAATTCCCTCAAAATCAACCAAAAAATCAGAAAAGTCTCTTGAAATCAACCAAAAAAACCGAAAATGTCCCTTGGAATCAACCCAAAAAACTTAAAAAATCCCTTGAAAAGGTGCATCCGCTCGGCAAAAATCCTTAGTTCGCTGTTGTATCCAAATATTTGGATATAAACAAAGAACATTTGATAAAGATTCCAGAAGAAGGTTGTAATAGAAACATGATTATAAGCCTCTTTTGAAAGAAATGGAGCAAGCAAGTGTATGGTGTAAACTTGTAATCAAACCGATGGAAATTAAAAATGCAACAAGAAGTATATGCTAAAGATTCCAACCGAAGTCGTTATGATTCATGAAATACCTGACAAATCACGCAAGAATTAAGTTCTTGATCAGCGGGCAATGCGTCTTCAGGATCAGAAGAAGATTTGGATGAAGCAGCATATACTCTCGTTTTTAGATGTTCTAGAATAAAATCATCCGACAAGCCCGAGCCAACGCTGCCAATCTGTTCACCAAGTGCAAGAAGCTCCTGCATAAATGGAAAAAGGGTTGCAAGAATCACGTGATGCTGGTAAAATATCGTATATATGTATATAACTATATATCCACCCTATATATACATTCATATATGCATCCAAGTGGCAACGATTGTGGAATAATAGTGCATAGTTAGGATGTGTTTGGTATGTGAAAGGGACCGGACGGGACGGGTGAAAGAATTGTGGAAGGATTTAGAGTTTTAATTTGACATGGTTCGGTAATTTACCAATCTTGTCACATTTGATTTTTGTTCAATCTTGCCACATCGCCTCGGTTTTTGTTCCACCTATTTTGGTGGGGCAAAAAAGACATGGATAGTTTGGTAATTTACCAATCTTGTTACATCTCCTTGGTTTTTGTTCCACCTATTTTGGTGAGGGGAAAAGACATGGGTAGTGCGGTAATTTACCAATCTTGTCACATCTCCTGGTTCTTGTTCCACCTGTTTTGGTGGGGGAAAAAGACATGGGTAGTTCAGTAATCTACCAATCTTGTTACATCTCCTTGGTTTTTGTTCCACCTATTTTGGTGAGGCAAAAAATACATGGGTAGTTTAGTAATTTACCAATCTTGTCACATCTCTCTCGTTTTTGTTCCACCTATTTTAGTGGGGGAAATAAAGACATGGGTAGTTCAGTAATTTACCAATCTTGTCACATCTCTTGGTTTTTGTTCCACCTATTTTATTTTGGTGGGGGAAATAAAGACATGGGTAGTTCTGTAATTTACCAATCTTCCTCCTTGGTTTTTGTTCCACCTATTTTGATGGGGCCAAAAAGACATGGGTAGTTTGGCAATTTACCAATCTTATCCCATCTCCCTGGGTTTTTCTTGCACCTACTTTGATGGGGCAAAAAAGACATGGTAGTTTGGTAATTTACCAATCTTGTCACATCTCCCCTGGTTTTTGTTCCACCTATTTTGTTGGGGGCAAAAAAAACATGGGTGGTTCAATAATTTACCAGTCTTGTCACGTCACTATCTCCCTGGTTTTTGTTCCACCTATTTTGGTGGGGCTAAAAAGGACGAGTAGTTTCAGTAATTTACCAATCTTGTCACATCTCCCCGATTTTTCTTCCGCTCAGGCTTATCCTGTCTGAGTCTAATATCCCGAACTATCAATTGCATTGTTCAAAGAGTCTCTTCCCATGAATCGAACCCATGAAGTGCATGTTTTAGAAATGTCTTTATTTCAAACAGGGCTAAAAAGGAAAAGTGAACGTTTATTTCGTTCTAGGCATGAAACGATTGCTATTCATTTAATAAATAAAGTAATTCTTCTACAACTTGCCTCATAAGACATGTGATCGATATCCAAGCGCATATCTCTGTGATGATCAACCGAATGCCCTACTTCATGATAACCAGAAATATCAAGAATCGCAACCCCCTACAAGAACACACAAATTAGTGAAAAATTACGGCAATTATTAAACCAAAATCAAAGTACTCCCTCCGTACCAATATTGTCACATTTTCCTTTATGAAATATCCCAAAATAAATGCAAGATTTCATTTTTTGGCGAAGTTTCAATCCAACATAACCTCTTTTGTCCATTAGCAATCTCTAAATGATAACAAGGGGCCGTTTACCAACACAAATTGGGTAAGCGCTAACCAGGGAAAAGGGGCTGGGTAAGCACCTCTTACCCGTTAAAAGGCAGTAAGCAGGTAGTAAACATCTCCTAATAGCATCAAATCTTGACAGCAAGATGCGCCTATTTTTGCCAATATAGATCTTTCAACTATAATTAAGCATTTCTTTCAACTATAGTTGAGCATTTCAGCTATAGCTAAGTTGTTTTATAAAGGCAAAATGCGCAAAATAGCAACCTACTTTCATAAATTTCCTTATTATAGCATTGTGCTTTCAGTTTTTCTTATTAGAGCAATGTACTTTCAAATTATCTTTTATTAGGGCATTGTACTCTCATTACAGGTTACCCGATGCTATGATAATACAGTGCCCTAATAAAAAGATAATTTGAAAGCACATTGTTGTAATAAGATAAACTGAAAGTACAATGCTATAATAAAGAAATTTATGAAAGTAGGTTGCTATTTCACGTATTTTGCCCTTTTTTATAAACAAGAGGGAAATTTGCACGAAATAAAGAGAGACAAAGAGAGAGAGAGAGAGAGAGAGAGAGAGAGGATAATACATCTTCGGGGAGAACTCTCAAGTGGGGAAAGCCATGATGCCTTGCAGTTGCCTCAACCATCATCTCCCGCCGATGAGGCCGGTAAACCCTAAGACCAGTCGGCGGTGTGGGACCCACGTATCTCGGACCTGGCTCTATCCCATTCTGAAAAGGATTTACACTGGGGTATGAAGTGGTGCTGTTTGTTGGAACTCTGCGTGAAGTTGATGCTAATTGAGAATGGAAGTCCATATTGTGGCCTTGCATTGGGGGCATAGGTGGCGGTGGCGGATGATGAAGATTGTGGGGGCCCTGATGAGGCGTGATAGGAGGGGGTGGGCGCACAAAACCCGCAGAAGCTGCAGAATTTCTGTTGCTGGCTGTAACTTGATATCCATGTAACCCCATGTTTGCAGCCTCCATACCACCCCCGTTAATAGGTCCTGCAATAAAGAGAATATTTGAATGCTAATTACTAACCATATGTCTTACCCTTCCATAATGATATAATAAAGAAATCTTGAAGACCAAAATCAATATCATCAATTCTTTGTGAAGTCAACAATCGGGAAGTAATTTTGGAAAAGTTGCCGAAAATGGAAACATTGTGATTTTCATGGCATATCCCAAAAAGGAAATTGTTGTGGTTCTCATAGAACTGGGATAATACAAAATTAAGGGGTGGGTTCAAATGAAAACTGTAAATATTTTGAGAACCAGGGAATCAACTTTTTATGCTTTATTCATGATGAAAGTTATTCATAATGAAAATACATGATATTCATGATGAAAAACATGATTATTCAGGGTTATTCGTCATGAACAATACATGAAATAGATGGTTTCCATGATCTCAAAATATTTATGGTTGTCATTTGAACTTTCCTCTATTTATGATTATTCACGGTTATTCATCATGAATAATACATGAAAATACATGATATTCATGAAGAAGATGCATGATCATTAAGGTTATCCATCATGAATAATACACAAAACAGAAGGTTCCCATGTTCTCAAAAAGGGTTGATCTATGGCACCTACTAAAGCCACCACCACATGTTAGTTTCCCTCTTCTAAGAAGGAACAACCGGTGAGTTTATTGGTAACTTTGGTGGTTATCAGCTCTATTCATAACGAATACCTTGGAGATACGGTATACCAGGAGCATGATTCCATGAAAAGGCACAGGCATCACTACCATTACCACAAAACTGCTGATCCAACCATGGCGCAGGCACCGCTTGAAGCGGCTGACCACCATAGTTTCCTGGAATCAAATGGCTATTACTATGAGCCAAGCCAGGGTCAACGCCAATAGCACCAGTACCTCGGTTTCTTGCACTTCTATGGACCGCAGCTTCCATGACCAACGGAACATCATTCCCGCCTCTGTAATCCGGGATTCCGTCGGCGTTCATAGGAATTGCAACTGAAGAACTCGAGCCAGGTGCCGGATAAAAGTAGTGAATATTTCCAGGGAATCCTTCGGCATTCTTTCTCTTAAAAGCACCATTAAGTCCATCCATAAACTGCGCATCATTCCTTTCTAAACTTCCACGAATGCCGGAAAATGGCAACTGATCTTGAATCCCATGATTGATTGCAACCGGAAAAACTCTGGCACCAGAAGGTGTCATAAATATATTGTTGTACTCAATACCGTTAGCAGGACGATGATGATCAACACCATTGTATTGAGTAATTCCATGAGGCAAAGGTCCATGATTTTCCGGCAGGTGCTGAGGATTGAAACTGGTTCGGTTTCCGGGAGGCGGTAATATTGTGTGATTATTAGTAGGCTGCGGAAAACTTGGCATCCCACCGTAAGGTAAGACACAAGGCTCGGGATGAAGATGGCTGTGTTCTGTTTCAAGCATTGGACCTGTATACAACATATTTCGTTGCCCCATGTTCTTGAATGATGAGTTGCAAGCAAATCCTGATCAATCACAAAAAAATGCGCAAATGTTAACATAAATGAAACTTAAACCATTCAAGGGTTCTTTGGTTAAACGGGAAATTTTAGATCCATGACTTTCTGACGAGGTTTGAGGATGTCACTAACAGAAGAAAAACACTTCCTTACACAAAAATGCCTAGAAACCCGTCGGAAGGTCATGGATTCAAAAGCACTTGTCACATATAGAACTTTATTTTATATAACTTTTTACGTTTTAATGTGGAAATTCACCACAAAGCTAATATAAAAAAGCCCGGCATAATGTTTTGCAGAAACTCCATAACACACAATCAAGAAACCTTAAAAAAAGATGAAGGGTTTGTTTTGCGTCACCATTTCGGCTAGCATACCAAGAAACAAATTTAGAAAGAAACGCAGGCCTGGCTCGAAAGGCACCAAAAAAACATTTTAGGCGCTAAACACATGTCGATATGCATGTTTAGGAGGTATTTACCAATCTACTGAAAAAATCTTAGAAGCCGGATCTCACTAGAAATAGAAACTAAGATCTTAGAAGGTGAAAAATGTGGCATGCTACATGATTTATTGGTTGTCCATTTAGAGAATCTTCGCATATTGCATTATCTAAAAGTATCATAGTCGTAGAGTTTTCAGGCATTCCAATGTGCATGTCATGGGATCCTAGACTAAAAGATAATAATCCCGTTGTCCCAAAATAAACCCAATATTTGACTATAGGATAGTTTGATGGAAATTTTTGACCATTTATGAAGTACATAGAATTGCCCTTCAATATGTTGTGACGATTACTGAACAAACGTAAGTAATGGTTTTGCCAGAAAAACAATATGTTGCATTTATTTTGGGATATCAAAATTCTTGCATTCATTTTGGGACGATCCAAAATGGAATAGATTGCATTTATTTTGGGCCAGATGGAGTATATATATACACACACACACACACATACATGCTAGGGCGTCCAATAGGTAAAGCAACTCGCACCTTTTAATCAAATAATAATATTGTATGGATTAGTGGCCAGATACAAAGTTCAATTCAATATTAGCATATTGGATCCCTTAAGAAGGGGAGAAACCAAACCAAACGAGCCCAGTATATCCCACTAAAGGTGGGTTTCGGGGGTGAGATGTATGCAGACCTGAACTCTACCCTCAAGAAGGGGAGAAACGCATATAAATATTGTATCTTGGAGTCTTCTAAACTAGAGCTTCCTATCTAATTTCAACGTCGAGAAATCAAATGCACATGCTACTTTACCTGTATGTTTTTAGCCTGCTATCTGAGATGCTCTAAATATACAACCACATTATCCATAAATTTTTTGGAAAATGCAACCCTTGGGTATTCATATAAGTATATGACTATAAGTCAACTAATACGACAAGTGATGCCGATAGGCAATACATATCATATGAAACCGTCCTTCAAAATCACAACATTGCATATTTAGTCAACTAATATGACACTATCACGCTTTTTAACAACAGTATAGAAGTCTGAACCGAACCCCAAATTCTCACCTACACGTGCATTAAATCAATTAACGCAAGTCGTAACTACCATCTACCTCTCTCTTCTTCTTCTTTCAAGTTTATGTTGAAAGATAAACAATAGAGTACCATCCGGCATCCATGTATAGCAGAAGAGGTTTGGAACTTTTCAAACATGCTCTGATACCATGAAAAATAATTCTATTGTATTTAGTTTTGAGAAAATACATAGATAGACTTCTTATTTATACTAAAGCTTTCTAATTATTCTACGAAACTACATAAAAGAAAAGAGATACAACACCACATATCTAACATAGTAATCAAAGTTGGACTTGGAAGAAACTGCAATTCCCGTCACTTAAAATCCATTTTTTGTCGTAACTTTTCAAAATCATAAGCATCTAATGGTACTAAATGAAATAGAAAAGCCAGTTTTTGGACCGTGAGGCTAAATTTAAAACAGAAATGAAAAGAAACTGAAACTACGAGTGGCAAAGAAGAGTAATTAGAGCATCAAGGACTATTGGTATGCAAAAGCAAGTTCCTTGCACAAGAGGATCAAAACGGAATTTCTTTAGATTAATACCAAGGAACATATCCCTTATACATATAGGAGTTCAATCAATAGTTGTTAAATGTGGTGCAAGCAAAAGAAAATGCTATAAACGACATAAAGCCAAACCAAACAAACCTAGTATATCCCACCAAAAGGTGGGGTCAAAGGCGTGAGAAGTACACATGCCTGACCTCCACCCAGAGAATAGAGCGGTTGTTTTTATGAAGACAAGTGTTGGAAACATAAGAACTTCCCGAAAAGAACTTGAAAACAAGAAAGGCGGTGCTAAAGTTTGAAAAACCCTAAATAGTATGTACATAATCAATGAAGGGAGACTTCAGTAACACTTTCTAAATCAAGAAAGATATTTCTGAAATCGTTGTTCCAAAATAAGAGGTACATTTCAGTGTATGATTGCTAAAAGCCTACAACACCATCATGGAAACACACCACCACCGTTGCAGTCGGAGTTCATTACTTAACGATATGTTTAATTGGCAACATACAGAATTGTATATAGCATTGAAAGAAACCCTACAAACGTCTCCTTCATTTCTCTCCGAAAACGAATATTATAGATTCAAAACCTACATAAAACTTGTTGACTTACAAAACAAAACAGTAATCCAACCAAAATCAAGCAATTTCCCCTTATTTTCATGCATCTATCATAGCAATTAAAAGCAACAAACATACAGAAAACACAAGTACCAATCTTTTAATCAGCATTTGGTCAAAGGAGGTGCATTCTTTCAGGTTTAATTTAATTTATACATCTTGCAATCAGCAATTGGGGAAAAGAAAGTGCATTTTCTGGGTTTAATTTCATTTTTTTTGGATTTAATACCATTTCAAAACTTGGTAAACAGAATTTCCCAGTTCCAAGATACAAATCAAACAGCTCCTTTCAACATCTAAGAAGAAATTCTCAAAAAAAGTCAACAATCAACATGGTTTTCTACAAAACCCACTTGGAAAAATCAAAAATAAACCATAAATCGTCGAGAAATATGTACCTTTTTATCATCAACGTGCTCCAAAGCTTGTATTAAGTTACCAATTTAAGCACCTTGAAGAGAAAAGCCCTAAATTGTGTTACCAAAAAAGACGATCATCAAGACATTTATAATCCAAGGAAAAACCCTTATCCCTGAAGCGATGATGATCCATGTATGTTCGAACAACATCAAGTTTATGGTATTTTCATCTACTCAAAATACTCGAAATCAAGAAATTAAAGAGAAATTGGGGGTGGATTGATGAAGAACATACCCAAATGAGGGTTGATCGGAGCCTTGGAGATGGTAAAATCGATCTAAATTTTGGTTCAATAAAAAAGAGAAGATAAATTATTTTGAGAGAGAGAGAAAGAGATGATCATGAAAATGAAAACCCCTCTTGTCTACTTATTTCTTTAATTTTTGGCTTTAACCGCAACTTTGTTTCTTCTCTTTTTCCGTATTTACAATTCCCATTTTTATGCAATTTATAACATAAACGTATGCTGTCCATGTGCTTTTTCTTTCTTCTTCTTTTTTCAATTTTCCATTTTCCATTTATAATATGTATATAGGATCAAATGAAATAAATAAACTTACATACCCTCTTCATCTTTAATGGGTTTTGAACTCCTGATTTTTAAAGAGGCTAAAGACTCACAAATCGCTAGGCCAAAAACCCTTTGGTATTTTATTTATCTTTGTTTTAGGGGTTGTTTGTTTACCTTTTAATAGTTCCATTAAGAGACAGTATTTGAATCGTTAAGAGGTGAATCTTGTTTGGTAAAAAAAATCTGTCTTTTAATGGTTCTAAACCTTCTGAATGATTTTGCATAATAAGGGAGACATCATTCAACTCCTTAATTTCATTGTAAATAATTGTCAAATAATTATATTCTAAATCATTCAGCAAATTACCAAACAATCCCTAATTTAATTTCAAGATTTTATGTAATCTACAAACATAATCAAAATCTTAATCATAATATTTTTTAATTTATTATATATATATATATATATAGAGAGAGAGAGAGAGAGAGAGGGGGTTGGTTATTATACAATCTTTGACATTTGTGCAACCAATACAACTCAATTTCAATCGTCCATTTCATTTGATTAATATGTGATTTCATAGAAGTTTTGATTGTTTCCTAGGATAAAGTGTTGATCATAATTAATGAACCATATTCATCTTCCATAAATATTTAAATCATAATAAATGAACTCTCATCATTTCCATAAATATCTCAATTTATTGGGTTTCATTGGTTGTACAAATACAATGAGTTGTATTTGAACCAAACTCTCTCTCTCTCTCTCTCTCTATATATATATATATATATATATATATATTTGGTTGTATTTTATACTGTATTATAAAATATTTAGCTAATTTTTCTTAAAAAAATTTGGTTCGTCTACCAAGTATAACTAAGTAAATTTCGATTTTATATTTAATTGTTGATATTATAAAAAAATTTATAGTTTTTTTAAACTTTATATCATCAAATAATAATCAACTGATAAATATATTTATATGAAGGTAGACAATGTCCTAGAATTAAAGTCAACTGACCCTATAAATATTCAAAATAACATACTATAAATACAAATTCAAAATCCATTTCGATGTAGATTTTTTTTCCGTTTTAACCATTTTTTCCGTAAATGGTATATATGTGTTATATTCATTATGGATATTTATGTACGTTCAAGTGTATACAACAACTCGACATCGTAAGTCTGTAATTCAAGATCACCTTCTTAACACTTTCTTCAACGTTGTAAGACATCACCGTCACCCAATACCTATCTAGACCGAGCGAGAATCCATCGATATCAATTGAGAAAGTTTGAGAATCCATTTATTGACTTGGTATGTATATGTGTTAAGCCATAATTTACCACCTTCATTTTTCATTGATTGTTTTATTATTTGTTTGTGTGTGTAGAACCATAAGCCACCACTTTTAGTTTTTATCGAGACAGATCGGGAACCCATCAAGACCAATCAAGAACACTTCAAGATCGAGCAACAAGTCATTGGGACCATCGACACCAATCAAGACTAGTCAAAAACTCATCCATTGACTTGGTGTGCGACTGTGTGTTAAAATCATAACACGACATCTTCATTTTTCATCGAGACTGATTGAGAACCTATTGATTAATTTACTGTGTGTTTGTTTGTGTAATACCACATGATACCATTTTTAATTTTTATCGAGATGGATCGAGAAATCTATTAAGATGAATCGGGAACTTATCCAGATCGATCGAGACCCCGATAAAGAAAAAAGAAATAAAAAGCTAAAATATATAGAGTTGAAACTATAACATATTCATGATGAATAATATATATGTGAATGATAACTATTAATATTTATGATTAATATTAATATTTATGATAAATATCGTACTAATATAAAATATAGAGAGTTATTGTATACACATGATCATATATAAATATTCATGATAAATAATATGTATATTCATGATGATGTTACAGTAAAAATATACATTCATGACAAATATCATGCTGATGTATAAATGTTGAAAAGTTTTTTTTATACACGTGAACATATATAAATATTCATGATAAATAATATGTATATTCATGATGATGTTACAGTAAAAATATACATTCATGACAAATATCATGCTGATGTATGAATGTTGAAAAGTTTATTTTATACACGTGAACATATATAAATATTCATGGTTAATATTATGTATCATATTGATGTATGAATATAAAAAGTTATTGTATACACGTGAATATATATATATATATATATATTATGTATCATATTGATGTATGAATATAAAAAGTTATTGTATACACGTGAATATATATATATATATATATATATTTATAGTCATGATAAATGTCATAAAGAAAACGTATATTAATGATGAATAATATTTATATCCATGATGAATGTTATAATGAAAACGTATATTAATGATGAATGTTATAGTGATGTATGAATACTGAATATTTGTTGAATACACGTGAATATACACAACTATTCATAATGAATGTTATACTAAGTTGTATATTCATGATGAATACCATACTAATGCATGAATATTAAAGATTTGTTGCAAACATATGAACATGCATAAATATTCATTATTACACGAATATACTATTTGACGTAAAAAAACGTTAAAAAAAAACTATATCGAGATAGATATCAAATTAAAGAAAATGAAATGTTCGGTTTTTTTATGTAATTTATTTGATCAAATTATTAATTATTTTTAAAATAATTTAGTTTAAAAATTTAATTAAAAAAGAAAATAAAAAATCAAATATGGTAGACATAAATCATAACTTCATTTTTTTTGTCTCTAATCACTTCTCATTTAATCTTTGTTTTACTATTGAGATATGAGTTTACTTTGTAAATCACGTTATTTATAAAACCGTACAAATCTCATTCAATCAATCATAATTTTTCATTTTGTTCATTTTTTTATAATTATGAGAGGTTGATTAATCATTTTTATCTTGGAGAGTTGATCATGGAATTATCATCTTCATTATATTAATTTTCGAGAAATACATGAAACAGTTTCATTCAAATTTCATGAGTATTATATGAAACAATTTCATAAACATGTATGAAATAACTTTATAAAAAAAGGTATTATATGAAACAATTTCATGAATTTTTTTTTCATAAGATTAAACAATGAAATCGACGGATGATTTGCATTTGATCGCTTTTCTCTCCCCCTCTCTCTCTATATATGTATGTGTATCACACAGTTTTGATCCTCCAAAAGATATAAATTTAAATTTCTAACCCTTATTGTGAATATTTGTGAATATGCTACTCAGTTAAATTCAGTATATTCATTAAGTCATAATAATACAACGTAATGCTTAATTATTATCTTTATCTACATAAAAAAGTATTCATTAACATAACTAATAAATTATATATTTATTTTTAAATTTAAATTTAAAACATTTAGATTATAATAAATTTTTGGATTAAATGTTATACAAAAAACGAGAATTCTTAATTATGATTTGATACCAATACAGATATATTATCTTTTTCAGTATTTTTTTTACTGAATCTTAAAATTAGCAAATCATGTTTAAACACCACCTATAATTTCTATTTTATTCAAACATAAATTCCATATTTTATTTTATTTTTATATAAAAATTGCATAACCGTATTACAATAAAATATTTCATCACATTGTATCATATCGCACGATATACAACGGGTATGTTATTATTGTTTCTAAATACATATATTATTCAATACAAATAACGAAACTTATTTTTTAAATACACAATTCATGTTTGTAACCATGGTGATTAATATAAAGTGTACACAACAATTATGACTACTGAATTTATCATGACTGATTTCCTGCAGTCAAAATTTACCAGGATTAATTTACATATAATCTAGGACACCCTTCCGAACGAAAACCAAATGACAGGCTTTTGAACTTTTGTATCACAAAATTAACTGAAAACGAAAAATAACGTATTTATAAATTACTCAAGAATATATAGTTCGTATCTGATTTCTTTAAGCCTTCAAAAATCATTAAAAAATACTTGTAAAGTGTAAATCAACTGTTTTTTTCAAGATAGACTGTAGCTTTTGAACCTTTTTGACATAATTTACAGTAAAGAAAATAATAAGAATATTATATACCTCATTGGCTTCTTAAGAAGTCAAAGGTTTAAACCTCATCAAATGTGAAGAGAGTGTGTAAGTTTATTTGTTCTATTTGTCGTATATATATATATATATATATATATATATAGAGAGAGAGAGAGAGAGAGAGAGAAGAGTGATCATATGAAAACCGCCCTCATTTGTGTAAACCGTGCAAACCACCTTCATCTGTCGATTTCATTGTTTAATCTTATGAAAATTTTTCATTAAATTGTTTAATCTTGTGAAATTGTTTCATATAATACTTTTTTTGATGAAGTTGTTTCATATATGGTTGTGAAATTGTTTCATATAATACTTAATGAAACTGTTTCATGTATTTCTCTAACATTAATGAAACTGTTTCATGTATTTCTCTAAAATTAAAATTATGAAGATGATAATATCTATGATTAACACCCTCCACAATAAAAATGATTAATCAACCTCTCATAATTACAAAAAATGAACAAAATGAAAAATTATGATTGGTTGAATACGGTTTGCACGGTTTGTACAAATTGAGTGGTTTGCATTTGATCGCTCCTATATATATATATATATATATATATATATATATATATAGGGTTGGGTTCACGTGAGACCAACCTGTTTTCATGAGACCCGTGAGACCACATTTTTACACGTAAACTTCACAGCAAAAACACTGTGAAGGTTAAAAAAA